ATGACATTCCCAGTTTGAAGGATGACATTCCCAGTTTGAAGGATGACATTCCCAGTTTGAAGGATGACATTCCCAGTTTGAAGGATGACATTCCCAGTTTGAAGGATGACATTCCCCTCTGTGTGTTCTCCCTGCAGCTGTGGCAATGTGAACTGGGCGCGGCGGTCCGAGTGTAACATGTGCAACACCCCCAAGTACGCCAAGCTGGAGGAGAGGACAGGTGAGCTGGGGGAGCCCCAGGTGCTGGCACAAGGGCTCTGGCAGTCCCAGTGCACACTCCTCGTTTTCCCAGAAGGGGTGCAGGTTCCTGCCCTCAGCCAGTCCCGCTGCTGGGGAGGTGGTGGCTCCGTGTGGGAAATCGGGGAGCGTTCAGCCTGAGCTGGCCCTGGGTTGATTTTGATGTCAGGGCTTTGGCAGCGATGCTGAATTGATCTGCAGAGGCCTCCTGTGCGCTCTGGGTGTGCAGAGGGCCGTGCAGATAAGGCTGTTATCTGCTCAGGAGGGCTGGGGCTCAGTTTCAGCTCTCCTGCGGGAACGTGAGCCCAGAGGGAACTGGGGCAGGATCTCCTTACAGCTCCTGCCCTCTGCTCCTGGATCAGGGAATCCACTGCAGGAGCGGAGCAGGGCAGGGGATTTAGAGCACAGGGTGGAACACAAAGCACAGAAATAAAGGAGCCCAGAGAAGAGCACAGAGCTTATTATTCGAAAGGAAAAACAATATTTCAGTATTGAATATTGTGGAAATAGGAAAGGATATTAAGTAATATAATCAAATTTCATATCATTGTTATAATTGCAAATAATATATCCACGTATTTATTATTTAAATAATTTATTGAAGTGCTTAGTAATTAATTAAGTAGATAAATACTTTCAGTGGTCCTATTCCATTCTTTTAATTGGATTTCTGAGGAACTGCATTTAATAAACGCACGTGGGAACAGTTCATGTTCCTCCTGAGAGCCCGTTACGTCCTTATGGCAGATTGACAGTTCTGTGAGGGTTCCCAGAGCCCCTGTGGAAGTTTCTGTGCTCAGATGAGGTGCAGCTCAAGGGATTGTGTTGTTTTGCCCCTTTTTCAAGGCTATGGAGGAGGATTCAATGAACGGGAGAACGTGGAGTACATAGAGCGGGAGGAGTCCGACGGGGAGTATGATGAGGTAAGGGAGGGGCAGGGTTTGTTCTGGAGAGACTCTTGTTGTGTTTTTTAAGGATATCCCATAAAATTGAAACCCAAACTGCTGAGATTCCTGTTCATCTCTGTGGAGTCTCATTGTCCCCAGGATGAGCATCTCTGAAGGCTCCTTGTTGCTAATTGATGTTCCACAGTGCTCCCCTCTCCCTTGGGCTGAGATCTTACTTAAAGTTGATGATTATTTCTTTTCTTATAGAAGTGTTACCAAAAATACAGTTGGTGATTGGTTTTTGTTAAATCCTGTTCTAATCCTGGCACAAAATTCCTCAGTTTGGGCGCAAAAAGAAAAAGTACCGGGGGAAGCCGGTGGGTCCTGCCTCCATCCTGAAGGAAGTGGAAGATAAGGAATCTGAGGGGGAGGATGAGGAGGATGAGGATGAAGATCTCTCCAAGTATAAATTGGATGAGGTAGGATGGTTTGTTGTTTTAATCATGATTTCAGTGCTGCCCAGGAGCAGGGGAAGGGCTGGGCAGTGTTTTCAGCTGCCTTTAGAGCAGAGCTCTGGCGGTAAACGGTAGAATATATATATATATATATATTATAATAACAGGTGGAAGAGATGGGCACAAGCTCTGCTTTATTCTAAGCAACTGCACTCAAAAATGGGCAGCTTCTTAAATCATAAATTACAAGCTTATCTGAGATCAGAACCCAAGATCTTTATTTGGAATTTGGATGTGTGGTTACCGTGTACAGCGAGTGCTCTTGATTTTTCTTCCTAGGGTTTCAAAACCACATCAGATTTATTTTTTATAAAATGAAGTAAAATATTCTGAGGGGTTTTTTCATCTTTTCTGAATGATATGAGCATCACTTATTGGATTTTCCACATCTTTGGGCAGCAGCCCTGCAGAGACGTGTGCAGATGGTCGTGTTTTACACAGCAGTCACCAAACTGCATATGAGATCTGTCTCTGCAGAGCTGGGCTTCGCTTAGAGATTCTGAGGGTGAAAATTCTTTTAAAGTGGTAAAAATGTGTCAGTGTGCTCATTAACTTCGTTAAGTATTGGGGGGGATTGCAGGGTTTTTTATTACTTTGGTTGGAAACACCAATTTTCAGTCACTCTTTGCTTAACATTGTGGGGTCTCATTGAATCCCGATCCAGTCTCAAAGGCTGGGAAGGAGCTCGAGGTGAAGGCAAGAATAAGGAACAAGTGAAGGGGAGCTAGAGGCATGGCCTGAGTTTGCTGTGTTGTGCCTGTGCCAGGATGAGGATGAAGACGATGCTGACCTGTCCAAGTACAACCTGGATGCCAGTGAGGAGGAGGACACCAACAAGAAGAAGAAGCCGCCGAGGCGCAGCCGCTCCAAGTCCCGCTCCTCCCACTCGCGCTCGTCCTCGCGCTCATCCTCTCACTCGAGCTCAAGGTCTAGGTCCAGGTAAACGGGTACAGGTCCAGGGTAACGCCAGGCAAAATGTCAGTATCTGACTTCCTTATTTCCTTTGTCTTGATTGCCTTGCAGTTGTGTAATGATGTGAATAACTCTCCGTTTACAGAGGTGGTGATGCTCTGCCTGAGCTGCAGCAGGGAGGCTCCGTGGGGTCTGGGGCTTGTTTTAGTGCTTTGAGTTGATGTTTGGTGAAATCCCTCAAAGACAGGGAATAATGCAGTTTGTTTTCAGGTTTTCAGGCTCGCTGGCCGTGGGTGGTTCTGTTGTTGGACAGAGGGGGGCACTGCTGGAGTGGGAGGAGGTGGCAGCAGAGGCAGAGACGATGCAGCCCAGGCAGACTCAGGGAAAGGACACAATGGGAGTATCCTGGGAATAACGACAAGAAACTTGAACTTGAGTTAATGGCAAGTGACAAAGCTTAAAATGCAGTGGCAGTGTTGTCACAACCTTGCCATCCCTGGAGCTGTCCAAGGCCAGGCTGGACAGGGCTTGGAGCAGCCCCCTGCCCATGGAACAGTGAAATGAGATGAGCTTTAAGGTCCCTTCCAACCCAAACCAGTCTGGAATTCTCTGATGGCACTGAAGGTTTATATGGGACCTCACAAAGGTCTGCTGGGCAGGCTCAAGTTCTTTCATTACTATTTAAATTCAATAATAAATGAATTACTGTTTAAATTCAGTCACTGCTTTGAAATTGGTGATGTCATTAATATTGGAGCTTTTGAGCTGCCTTAGAGCTCATGCAAGGAGGATCCTGATGAATCAGAGCAAGCTCCCAGGGTCATTTATTAAATTCACATATATAAAGTTCAAGTTTCTTCTGATCCTCCCAGCTTCATCATTGCCCCTCTGTGCTCTCAGTTGTGTCACTGCCCAAATTCTGCAGCCCCTCGTGGTAACCAGGGGCCAGCCCCAGCCTCTGGCTTGGCTTCTCCTCCTCATGGTTGGATCTTGCTCCTGCTGCCTCTTCTGTTCCTCAGCCTCCCCTCCTTCCCACTCCTCGGGGCAGTTTGTGTGCAGTGCTTGGCTGGGAGGCTCCAAGGACACTCAAAAACCTCACCTGCCCATAAGTGGCCATAAATTCACAAATATTAACAGTGAAATAGAAAGTGACTTGTCCTAACTGAGACTTCAACTACCTCTTGATCCTTTTGCTTCTGGCTACAGATATTTGGAAATATCAGTTGCCATTTGTGGATGCTTCTTTTATTTTTTTTTATTTTTTTTTGGTGGGTTTTAAAAACGTTTCAATATATTTCCTAACTAGGAGATGTTCACACCACTGTGTCCTGCCCAGTAAAATGGGAAAGTTGTGGTAACAGTATAAACTGAGAGGCTGACACAAGTAGAATGTATTTTACCTGAAAACATTGTTAGAATTTGTTTTCAATGCTTTTGTTTCCAGTGGTTGCTGTAGCCTGCTGCCATTGTTACATTTCTCTTGTGGTTTGTGCTTTAGAGAAAATCCATCAGTGAAAAATGGGGAAATAATTTTGGCCAGTTACAGGTTGTGTTGGATGTGGCTGTATTTTAGCCCCAAATTAACCACTTAATTTATAATGCAGGGGAAAATCTTCATTAAAATTTGAAGCTGATTGCAAAGTGCTTGTGAGAACTGGCTGGGGGGAAGCTGAGCTGGCCAATCCTAAAGCTCTCATCTGCTCTGCCTTTCAAGGAAACTGATGGGTTTCCAGTTAAGGCACAAATTATTGTATTGATTTCATGAAATAACCAATAGATAGGAAGTTATTTCGTTTTGCCAGGTAACTGCAGTCCTGTTTAATTGTTGTGCTTTGTTTTAGGAACCATAATCTAAAGCTGAGTAAAGCTTTTAATGTTTTTATTGCGAGATCTTGCTGTGTGAAGGTGTTTGGTTTAAAGGGTGCTGTGGTGATGCTGGGGGGGCGGGATTGGCATTTTAGGACTCAGACTGTGTTGCTGCCTCGTGTCTGCTGCTCTCAGGAGCAGTGACTCTGCTAAATGCAAGTCAGACACTGGAAAAAGATCTCCCATGTTGTTGCAGGTCCCATTCCAGGAGTTCTTCCAGTTCCAGATCGAGATCCCGCTCCAGCTCCAGGGAACAGTCCCGATCCCGTGGGTCCAAATCCAGGTGAATGAGGTACCAGCCTGTCCCTGCACAGACACAGGGCACAGGCTGCAGCTGCTTTGGTCCCACGTAGAGCCGTGCTGCTCAGACAAACATTAACTGCTTTTTATCTTGGAAGTCAGAGCTGCTGGGTCCCTGCAGCAGGTGCTGCCAGCACCGCCGTGTTCGCTGAGGAGCAGAGCTTGTGGTGCAGGAGGTTAAGTCTGGCCTAAGCCGGACGCGCGGACGCCACCGAGCTGCAGTGGAGGAAGAAGGATTTGAGTGCATGGTTCCCTGCTGCAGGCATTCGGGTGCTTCTCCAGTTTCCACTGGGGCTGCTTGAGCTGGAGGAGCGTTAGAAATGCCGCCCTGCTTCTGGTTTTGTGTTCAGTGAGAGCTCTGCACCTTCCACGAGACAGGGCAGCCGTTCCTGAATAAACCTGGGGATGACAGGAAAATGGTGGGAGAGGCTGAGAGCAGTCAGAGTGATTTGCCTGGAGCATCACTGAGCTGGGCAGGGCACAGGAACAAAAGCACCTTTGTGGTGTCCTTGCACAGGCATTCCATTGGCAGAACAGCCCCTCTGTGATGGAATGAAGGGCTGTCCCTTCTCCGTGCATGCAGAGAATCCCAAAACTCTAAATAATAAGGGAGCTTGGGTTGGGAAGAACGATCACAAATGGTGCCACCACCCCTTGGGGGGCAGGGACATGCTGTGGATTATCCTGTGAGGGTCAGCACCGGATGGAATCCGTGCTTTTGGGAAGAGGAAAGGTGTCCCTGTGCCCCACCAGAGGGGCACTGTATTCCAAGAGATGTTTTTAAATATTCTGACCCAGTTCTGAGAGGCTTTTTGCAGTATTTTGATTGAGGAAGGTTTTAGTCTCTTCACAAATGTAGTTTGAGGTCTGTAAATATGACAGCTGGATTTGTTGCTGTTTGGGAAATGTCTGTGAGGGTAGAGTGAAGCATCCTAAATCAGCTTTGGATCTCTGCTTTCCAGGTTATTCTGATGAGTGAATTTAACTGCTGAGGAGGGTCCTTACAGAGGCCACTTCCCAGCAGTCTCACTGTGCTTTTTTTTTTTTGCCAAAATGTCTCATTTTGGTGAATGCTGGGAAGAGCTTTCCAAACCATTGGTGGTCCATTTATCAGGAAATACTGCTTAGCAAAATTTCTTAGGAAAGCTGCCCTGGCAGTAGCAGTGCTCTTGGCAGAGTAAGTATGGAAGCCCCTGGTGTTTATTTTCCACACCTCTGGAGTAAACAGAGTAGCAAATGTTGATGAAAACTGTCTCTGCTTGTTCTGTCTTTGTGCCTTCTCCATGAGCCCAGAATTAAATGTGATTTATTTCTCAATCAATAAAGATCCAGCTCCAGGTCCTACAGGGGGTCTTCCACCCCAAGGAAAAGATCTTACTCCAGCTCTCGCTCCTCGTCTTCCCCCGAGAGAGGCAAGAAGCGAAGCCGCTCTAGATCCTCTTCCTCTGGTGATCGCAAAAAAAGGCGCTCGAGATCACGGTCACCCGAAAGGTTTGGGTTTATGTAGAATAAGAATGGCTGTATTGAGATGTGTGATGGTTTATTGTAGTTATCCAAGGACTAAGATTCACTGGAAAACAATTGAATCTGAGCAGTTATTCTCGTAGTAAAAGTAGTTTCCTCACTTGCCCTACTCTTACTTTTGTTAACCCCTCTGTAATCGCTTTTTTTTTTTACTAATTTTCCCCCCTCCAATGAAATTCCTCCTGGTAGGAGCATGTTCTGTATAAAGACCTGGCTCACTTTCAGTGTGTGGCAGTGTTAATGTGTTCATTATTGAATTATTTTCTTAAGTAAATATTGCATTGAAATAGAAACTGTATTCTACTCTCAGTATTAAATTTAGACTTTTAGTATTAAATTAGTGGCTTAAAGTTACTTGTATATTCTTGTAAGGCCCCCATGAGATATACTTGGCTTCCAGCTATGGTAGGATGCTGCTCAAAGCGGGTTCCAGGATGAATCTGAGCTCATTTCTGTGCATGCTTTCTCCATTTGTATCTTGCAGACGCCGCAGATCTTCCTCCGGATCCTCCCATTCTGGTTCCCGTACGAGTTCTAAAAAGAAATAATGTCTAAAAGCTCACACTTACAAAAACCCACCAAAATTCCAGTCAGTGCATGAGACATTTTTAAGAAGTTGGTGTCTTACTTGGTCAGAAGTGCTCAATCTGCTAGTAGAGGTGCATGTCTGTCCTGGCTTTCTGGCAAACTGCAGCTTTGTTCATCCATCACCCAAACCCGCAGTAGCATTTTAAGCCATAAACTCCCCGGCACACGGGGAGGTTCTGTGGTGTAGGGGGGGGGTTTGTTAATTCTCAAGATCAGTTCCTCCACTCCTGGCTCCCTCAGCTGGAGGAGCAGGTTGGGAATGTCCTGGCACAGCTCTTGGTGTGAGCAGGAAGCCGTGAGTTTCCCAGGGCAGGATGGAGCTCCCGTGGGACCACAGCAGGGGCAGGGCTGGGGGCACCTGGGGCCAGCAGTGGGGCCTTGGGCAGAGCAGTTTTTATTTTGCCATGCAGCAGTGCCAGTGCAGATGGACACCCCTCTAGCAGCTCAAACCCCCCAGTCCATCATGATTCCAGAGGGAATTAGCCTCATTCCTGGCGAGGGAGGACGTTTGCAGCCAGCACAGTGCTGTGGCTGCGGTGCTTTCCAGAGCCCGGACTCCAGGATCCCTCCTTACAAACGGATCACTTGGGATCTGCTCTTGGGCTGCAGGAGTATGGAACTGGCTCCTTGGAATCAAGGGAAGCTTCCGCAGGCCGCCTGTAAAATTCCCTTTGGGGCTGACTAAAATTTTCAAGGTATCTTAATTTTATTTTTCTTTACCAATGAGAATGAATAAACTGTGTAGAAAGTTCTGGCATCTTCAACGTCTTCTTCATCGATCATTTTTTCCCTTTAACATAATTTATGGCTTAAAATGCTTTATGGAATCCATTTGAGTATAAAACTTGGTCTCTCTTGAGCTCCGTTTGGTTAAGAAAGGTTTAAGTTTCTTCAGTGCCATCACAAGGTAAGTATGGTAAGGAAAATTCTTTTTAAGCAAGCAAAGAGCAATATACCTTCATTTATTTCAGTAATAAAACTGCCAGATTTGCTGCTTGTTTTGATAAACTGCGCAGAAACAAACGGAGCAAAATCTAAAAACTCCATTCTGCTTTTTTTTCTTTTTTTTTTTTTCCTCTTATTTTTTTTTTTGAGCCATGTCTTATGGACTGGTCTAGAAACAAAATGTTTTTGGTGTAGAGGTATTTTGATAAATCTCTTTGCAGAAAAAAATGCAGTTTCTTCTTTAATGCTTTCTTTTCTTTCTAATTTCCATGCTAAATGTGTGTAGGTTGCACAAGAGCAGGTTAGTCTGTAACTGTGCCTCTGACTTCAACGTCCAACTAAACTGTAAAACCAGATCAAGTAGACGCTCTGTTGTTAGCCTTGGGTTTTCTTGTGCTTTGTATTCCAATTGTTGCTGTACTTAACAGATGAGAGGTTTCAAACTTAGCAACTGATAGGCCACAGGCAGAGGAGAAGGATGGTTCATTTGGCTTAGAGAACGTGTAAGGCAAAATAATGCTGTAGACAAGTGTAAATAAAACCTGTGAGTCAACCGTGCTCTCGAGTGCTTTGTCTTGGGAACACTCGGCCTTCCCCGTCACCTGCACTGCCCCTGGTGCTGTGTGTCAGCTCACCTGGCCCACGTACCCGCGTGTTCACATCGTGAGCGGCTTTCCATTGCAACAGAAAATGAGCTTTTACGAGGTGTTCTCACAGAATCGTGGAGTGTCTTGGGCTGGATGGGACCCATCAGGGTCATTACCCAGACCCCCCAACAACCCCAGCCTGGGCATCCCTGGCAGCGCTGCCCAAACGCTGCTGGAGCTCCGGCAGCCCCGGGGCCGGGACCATTCCCTGGGATCTGGGCAGTGCCAGCACCTCTGGGGGAAGAACCTTTCCCAAAATCCACCCTGAGCTCCCCTGGCCCAGCCTGAGGCCGTTCCCTCTCCTCCTGTCCCTGTCCCTGGGAGCAGATCCCAAATCCCCCCGGCTGTCCCCTCCTGCCAGGGACTTGTGCAGAGCCAGAAATTCCCCCTGAGCCTCCTTTGCTCCAGGCTGAGCTTTCCCAGCTCCCTCAGGGATTCTCCAGCCCCTTCCCAGCTCCCTCAGGGATTCTCCAGCCCCTTCCCAGCTCCCTCAGGGATTCTCCAGCCCCTTCCCAGCTCCCTCAGGGATTCTCCAGCCCTTTCCCAGCTCCCTCAGGGATTCTCCAGCCCTTTCCCAGCTCCCTCAGCCCTCCTGGGGCTCCGTTCCCTCAGGCCCTGCCCGCTCTGTCCCGTTCCGCCTCTCCCGGCCCCGGGGCGGGTCCTGCCCGTCCCTCACATAAAGCGGCCGCGCGGGGCAGCCGGGGCGCTGCCGGCTCCGAGCCGGCTCCGGGCTCGCTGTGTTCGTGCTCCTGTGTCGCTCCGAGCCGGCTCGGTGCCCGCTCCATGCGGGATCTGCCGGCTCCGGGATGAGCCCCTGGCAGCAGCGGCCGCCCAACGCCAGCGCGGCTGTGGGGCCGGGCCCGCGGGGGAACGGCACGGGCCGGGCGGCCGAGCGCGGCAGCGCCGTGTCCGTGGCCATCCCGCTCACCATGATGCTGACGGGCGTCGTGGGCAATGCCCTGGCCATGCTGCTCGTGTCCCGCAGCTACCGCGCCAAGGGCAGCCGCAGGAAGCGCTCGTTCCTGCTGTGCATCGGCTCCCTGGCGCTCACCGACATGCTGGGCCAGCTGCTCACCAGCCCCATCGTCATCTCCGTGTACCTGTCGGGCCGGCCCTGGGCCACCATGGACCCCTCGGGCCGCCTCTGCGACTTCTTCGGCTTCAGCATGACGGTGTTCGGGCTGTGCCCGCTGCTGATCGCCAGCGCCATGGCCGTGGAGCGGGCTCTGGCCATCCGCGCCCCGCACTGGTACGCGAGCCACATGAGCCCGCGGGCCACCGAGCGCGGCCTGGTCGCCATCTGGGCCTCCGGCGTGGCCCTGGCGCTGCTGCCGCTGGCCGGGCTGGGCCGCTACGCTGTGCAGTGGCCCGGCACCTGGTGCTTCATCAGCACCGCCGGCGGCAGCGCCTTCGCCGCCGCCTTCGCCGCGCTGGGGCTGCTGTCGCTCGTGGTCACCGGCGCCTGTAACCTGGCCACCATCGCGGCGCTGGTGGCCCGCTGCCGGGCCAAGGCCGGCTCGCGCTGGGGCCGCATCGCCACCGAGACGCTGCTGCAGCTGCTGGGCATCATGTGCGTGCTGTCCGCCTGCTGGTCACCGCTGCTGGTACGTGACAGCCGCCCTGCCCTGCCCTCCCTGCGGACACCCCGGGCCGGGACAGCGGGGCCGGGGGTGCTGAGCCTGCCGGACAGGAGCGGGGAGAGGTCCCGAGGAGAGCCGGGCTGCAGGAGCCGGGGGGCGGAGGAGGAGAAGGAGGTTCTCGTGCAGAGAGAAAAGCGGGATGTGAGGAGCGGCTCTGGGAGCAGTCAGATGGGATTTGGGGGGTTTTATTTGCTCCCGCCTTGCAGCAAAACTTCTTCAGTGTTTTATGAGAAAACGCACGAGCCGTGACTCTGAGAGCCCGCTGGGTTTGATTTACAGCAGCCTCCCGGCCTCGGCCACTCTGGGTTTTAAGGATCCTTTCATTGCTTTCCACTATTTTATTATTCCTTCCTTAAGAACCCCTCGTTGTGATGTAGGAGTGGGGGAGGCACAATCCACATCTTTGCCGTGTGGGACCAGGGCACACCCGGGGGCTGGGATCCCATCCCGAAAGGCTGGGCTGTTCTATCAAGGAGTAGCAGGATTTTTTTAAGATTTGTACTTGATATCTTTGAGCAGGATGGGCTGAAGCTGGTTGGGGAAATGCTGAGGTTATGTGAAAGGCTCTTTATGGCTGGAGAAGGTTTTTCTCCTTGTCCTGTTACCCCCGAGGGTTTCACCAGCCTTGAGAGGAGATCCCTGAGATGGGGAAGCGTTTCCTCCTCCCCCAAGAGCAGGGCTCTCACACAGATGGGTGAGGAAGCTGGGATTCCGCTTGGTGCTTTGGTGCCCTGGGCATTCCTGTGCTTTCAGAGGCAGAAGTCAACCCTCAAGCACCAGGGGATCCATCAGCACTTCCCTTCCCCCGGCAGCAGCAACACTTGGAATGTGGAACTTCTTCTGTGGAGTTCTCAAAATCCAGACTCGTGGTGCAGGGGTATTTTTATAAATATATCTCCATTTTTATACTTAAAGCTCTATTTCCAAACATGCAGCCCGGCTTATTCTGTACAGCTCTGAAGTGCAGGTCAGGAATCAGAGACCAGATTTTTGGAGAAGTGACCAGGGAGAACGCAAATTTTCACTTTTCAGTGAAAGCCAGCCCATAGCAATCATTTAACCCGTAGCTGCAGCACTCAGCAGTTGCGAGAAACGGAGCTGAAATAGAAATCCAGGGCTTTACAGAGGAGGCTTTTTTGTTTCTGTGGCTTTTTCAAAGACATCTGAGTTTTGTAACTGAGAACTAATGGATCCTGGCAGCTGCTGCTGAGAGGTAAACAACGCCCTCGCCACACACGGTATTTTTAGAGCTGATCTGTTGATGTAAACGACAAAATCAAATGTGATTTAGCAGCAGAGGGAAAGTTCTGACAGCGTGGCTGTGCTCTGGAGTGTCCTGCACGTCTGGCTCTGTGCTGGCTTGGGAAGGAGGGAGGAGAGCAGACAGGGCAGGAATTGTTCCCTTTTTCCAGGAGCTTGTTGGACTCACCAGGGAGCACCTGGGGGGACACCCCACTCCAGAGTGGCATTGCTGGTTTCCAGTTCACACTGATCTGTTTGTTTTGAAGCATGTGCTGACAGGACACAGGGAATGGCTTCCCAGAGGGCAGGGCTGGATGGGATCTTGGGCAGGAATTGTTCCCTGGCAGGGTGGGCAGGCCCTGGGATGGAATTCCCAGAGCAGCTGGGGCTGCCCCTGGATCCCTGGCAGTGCCCAAGGCCAGGCTGGATGGGTTTGGAGCAGCCTGGGGCAGTGGGAGCTGTCCCTGCCATGGCTGGGGTGGGATGGGTGGGATTTGAGGTCCTTCCCAGCCCAAACCAGTCTGGGGTTCTGGGGTAGCCCTGGAGCTGGATGGCAGCACACAAATGACTCCGAGGTGAAATGAGGGAAGCTGTTCCTTGATTGCACAGAAACTCCACTGCAGCACAAACTGGAATTCTCACAATAATAATTTTGGATTTGCAGTCTACAAAATGATTCCTCCTCAGAGTTGTTTCAAAGTTATTTAAATCCAAATGCTCAGGAATTCTGCTGCTTTTCCTGTTAAAATGCTTCCGCTCCTTATCCCTCCTGGCAGACAGAAACTAAAGACGTATAAAATCTTATTCATAATAACAGTAAAGTTTTAGCTGCTTTAGTTGAATAAATCCAATCATCAGCCATATTTCTGCATGCATTTTAAGCCAGATTTTTAATGGCATAAATCATGTTGACTTTATTCCACCTGATGTTGTTCCTCTGCCTTGTGCAGCCTTTTAATCCATTTAGAAGACCAATAGAGACCATGATAAACAACCTCTAATGATATCAAACAAACAAAATTTCCAGTAGAGCAGCTGTTGGCCCAACAGCTACTCCAATAAAGAGATATTACATAATAAAGCCAGGAACGAGCAGCAGTTGTGTGCTTGGGAAATGTATTCTATTAGCCTGGTGGTTTTGGAGCTCCATGTGAAAAAGAGATGGCAGAGTCTGGCAGGGCCAGGACTGGGGTGGTGTGTGAAGAGCCAGGCAGTGGCTCTGGCAGTGTGGGGCTGGTGCCCCAGTGGCTCCTGCTGTGCTCTGGCTCTGTATCCGTGTTTTCACAAGGCTCTGTGTCTATGTTTTCACAAGGCTCTATCCATGGCCACTGATGTCAATGAAATGTCGTGGGTAGAATCCTCAGCTGCTTCTGTTTAAAGAAACAAAAACAATTCTGTGCTGTCCACGCTGCCCTGCCCTCCAGACAGAGCCCAGGCTTTCCAAGGTCAGCACATGGTTATTGATCTGGCACCCACAATATCCCTTGGAAGGGAAGAATCCTCCCTGGAGCCTGTGCTCCTGGGCAGTGTGGGGACAGCAGCAGCCCAGCTGTGACCTCTGTGGTCAGCTGTGACACAGCTCTGAGGAGCTTTCCTGTGGGATCGCAGCCTGGCCTGGCCCTTCCCAAAGGCTGGAGCCACGGGACTGGCAGCGATTCCCTGCGGATCCGCTCCCTCGGGCTGTTCCCAGCGCTCTGGGGACTGGCTGCCAGTTTATCCAGGGGCTGGGAGCGCTGGGAGCACTGGGAGCACTGGGAGCACTGGGAGCACTGCTCTGTGCCCCAGGGCAGTGCTGGGTGCGTGTCCATCTCCGTGGCACTGGGAGCACACGGACAGCCCCGGTTCCGCAGGGATCCTGGGCAGCACAGGCACACAGCCGGGGCCGCTGGGTCATACCCAGGAAAGGTTTGTGAGCAAAACAAGGATCTGTTCAGGAAAATGAGGTGTTCAGGATCCCAGGCTGGCTGGGGTTGGGAGTAAAGCTCATGCAGTTTCAGGGGCAGGGACAGCTCCCACCATCCCAGGCTGCTCCAAGCCCTGTCTGGGGCACTTGCAGGGATGCGGGGGCAGCCGCGGCCTCTCTGGACGGCGGTGGCACCGCTGTGGTGACACTCAGCCCCTTACCCTGTGTCCCTTTCCCTCCCTGCCCAGATCACCATGCTGAGGATGATCTCGGAGCACACGGCTGGGCCCTGCCGGGCCGGCTCCGGGGAGCCCCGGCGCTGGGAGCCGCGCCAGGAGTGCGACCTGTCGCTGACCGCCGTGCGCCTGGCCTCCCTCAACCAGATCCTGGACCCCTGGGTGTACCTGCTGCTGCGCAAGATCCTGCTCCGCAAGGTCTGCCAGGCAGCCAGCGCCGTGTCCAAGTGCTCCAGCGCCGAGTGCCGGGACAGGGACAGGGACAGGGACAGGGACAGGGACAGGGACAGGGACAGGGACACATCTGTCTCCCTGCCCGAGGAGATCCGCCGGACTGCGGCCTGAGGGTGTTCCCTGCGGGGAACCTGGGAGCCTGCTGACCCCTCACGGTGTCACTGCTGGAGCCAGAGTGCCAAATTCTTCCTGCAGGTGCCACAAGTGCTGGGATACAGTAGGACACGACCCTCTGCAGTCATGGCTGAGCTGCACAGCGAGAGGAGGACATGTCCTCATCCATGGTCACTGCAGAATGGGAGAAGAACACGTCCTCATCCATGGTCACTGCACAATGGGAGGAGAACATGTCCTCATCCATGGTCACTGCAGAATGGGAGAACATGTCCTCATCCATGGTCACTGCAGAGCAGGAGAAGGACATTCCATGGTAACTGCACAACAGGGTGAGGACGTTCCATGGTCACTGCACAACAGGAGGACACATCCTCATCCATGGTTACTGCACAGAAGGAGAAGGACATTCCATGGTCACTGCAGAACGGGATGAGAACGTTCCATGGTTACTGCCACTCGTGGCTGAGATGCACAGAGGAAGGTTCTGTGAGCCTAAAGTAGAGCCTGAGGGAGCTTCTCTTGCTTTAAGGTGGAAGAAATTGTTTTCCTGACAGCCAGCAGATTCTCCAGATGGAATTACTGAAGGGAGATACTCCCTTAAATACTACTGAGAGTATTTAATACTAAAATTACCTCCTTCAGAGAGTCCTTCCTCCTTTTTGCTGGAGGTGCAGAAAGAGGGAGAAAAAACACAGGAATAAGGAAAAAAAGTTAAATTTGGTTGGATTTCAGTGTTTTAAAACTGAGCAGTGATGGAACATCCATCTCTTCCAAGGACTGAAGGCAGCACGAGTCTCCTGCCTCCTGATAAACGCTGATCCGTGTGGCAGCTGAAGGGAGCTTGAGGAGGGTGCAGCACCGGGGCAAGGGGAGAAATCCCTGATTTTTCCCTGGCAGCCTGTGGAATGTGCAGGGAGGCTGGAGTTGCTGCTTGAGGGGGGCAGATGAGAGGAGGAGAGTCAGAGGCAGACCCACTGCTGCCACAGGAGCTGCTTTCCTGGGAAGTGCCGAGTCCATGAGCAGCAAATGCTGTGGGAGGAATGGGGCTGGCACTTGGGGCCTGCAGAGAGCCCAGAGCAGCATCCCAAAGAGTTCAGCTCTTCCTCCAGAAACACAAATGTGGCAGCTCTGGGAGTTTTTAAACTGCAGCAGACTGGAAGCAGTGGGTGGAAGTGTGTGAATTTGTCAGGTCTTTTCCCAAAGAAACTTCCATGGTTTAGTTACAAACTCAGTTCCAATCCATTGGTGCCACATCTGAGGCTTGTTTTTTAAAAAGCTGTGTCTTAAGGCATTTTCTTCACCCTTCTGGGGCTGACAGCCTCTCATGTCTCCTGTTTTGTAGCCTTTGGAGTGAAATCAAGTGCAAATACAATAAAATACAGCTGATATTCCATGTGCCAGGTGCTGTGGAATTCAGGGGTCTTACAGGCAAATGAAGTCCTGCATCTGTGAGGAATTTCTTTACTTACACAACCTTTACTTTTTTTAATTTGTTTATAAAAGTAATTCCTCAGCAAAGAATCTGTGCCTTCACTTTTGTCTTGCATTGTCTGATTCTTGTCCACATAAATCTGATTTTATGCAGGTGATGTGTGAGTCCAGCCTAAAAGCCAAGGTTTAGCTTTAATTGAAGACCCAGCCTAAATTTAATGGATTAAATGCCTTTTTCAATTTGAGTTGCTGGACCCTGCTCTGTGCTGAGCCACTCCTGGTGTAACAACTACAGGTTCATCAGTGCTTCAGGGGAAAAACGCTTTAAAAAGTGCCTTGCAGGAGTCAGACTCTGCGTTGTTGGGATTATTTGGGGCTGGAAAAAGCCTCTTGTGTGCAGAGGATCCCTTCTGTTCCCTCTGTGTACTTTTCCTTTGGGAAAGAGCTCAGCAGAGCCGCTCACTTGTGAAATATGTCGGGATGACCTCAGCTGCCTGGACCAGCCCTGGCCAGCACATTCCTGGCTCCCGGATTGTCTGGAGTCACGGCTGCGATGGAGGGAAGGGAGAGGGAACCCACGCCTGTTATCCCCCCCTTGATGGGAAAAGCAGGGTGCTGTGCCTCCTGAGCGTGGAAATCTGGGGATGGGACACTGGGAAGGGCCCTCCAGCAGATTGAGCTGATTCCTGGTGTCAGGGTGGGTTCACTGCACTCACATGAAACTGCTTTTGTCACCAATAGTCAGTGCTGGGATGGGCACTTCTGTCCCTCTGGGGGGTAAAATGAAGGAGCTGCTTCATCCAGATGGGAAGGGATGGGAGCTTTACCTGAATGGGAAGGGATGGGAGCTTTACCCAGATGGGAAGGGATGGGAGCTTTACCCAAATGGGAAGGGATGGGAGCTTTACCCAGATGGGAAGGGATGGGAGCTTTACCCAGATGGGAAGGGATGGGAGCTCCATCCAGGTGGGAAGGGATGGGAGCTCCATCCAGGTGGGAAGGGATGGGAGCTTCCCGTTTGTTTACAGGAGAGGGGTGGGAGTTGTGCCCTCCAGCCCTGGCTCTGTGTGGGGCTGCACTTCCTAAACCTGATCCAAGGAGCTGAGGTGCACCTGGGAGCTTTCATTCCCATCTTTGTGGGTCGGGAAACTGTGTCTGTGTCCTGGTTCTTTCACGATGCCTTTTCAGCCTGGTTTTGTGTGCTGTCCCTCTGCCTGAGGTGTTCTGGGAGCTGTATGGCACGGAAAATGCACCTGGAGATCACGGTTTGCCTGCAAACCACTGGTGTGTGTCCCACCTGTGTGTGTTTACCAGCGAGAATAAAATACCAGAGTGACCCTGGCCTTGGCTGGGTTTTGGCAGGAGCTGCTGGAGGTGGGGCCAGAGCAGATTTTATCTGCCCAGTGATCCAGGGACTGCCTGTGGGAGCTGCTCTGCTGGGAATTCCAGCCCGGGGGAGCACAGCACCTGCACCTGCACCCCAACCCAGCCCAGGCTCTGGGGTGTCCCAGCACAGGTGAACTGTCTGCAGCCCCTCCCACCACGGCTCTTCCCGTGTTTTTATCCCATTATTCCCATTATTTTACTGGGTTTTTGAGCTCCTCAGGAGGACTGACACAGGGGAGCAGCACTGGGGTGGGGAACCCCAACCTAGCCCAGCCCAACTGGGAAATCCCTGGTGGCTGCTGGGTCTGAACTGACACAGGAGTTCCAGGCAGGCAAATCCCAGAATCCTTGGGGTTGGAAAAGCCCTCCCAGAGCACCGAGTCCAAGCTGTGCCTGATCCCAGCTTGTCCCCAGCCCAGAGCCCCGAGTGCCACGTCCAGGTCTGCCTTGGGCACCTCCAGGGGTGGGGACTCCACAAAATCACAAATTACATTTCCCAGACAATGGCAGAAACACCTCAGAGCCAGCCCCAGCCCCCACTGAACAGCTGGGTTTGAGTTTCCCTTTATCAGTTTGATCTGAGTTTAAAAAAAAACAACAAAAGGCAAATCAGAACCAGGGTTTGATAAGGAGCGGAACACAGGAGAGCTGTGAAGGTAGAAAAACAGCTGGGAGCACAAAAGAAATATCTCTGTGACCTTCAGCAGCAGCAGGAAAAGCCTGAGCTGAGAGGTTTGGTTGCCCAGAGGCAGCAGAAAGCTCCCCAAAATTGTGCTGTGAGGACAAACAGCTCCTTCAAGTCACATCACTCTGTGCCCAGGGTTACAGGAGCCTTGGAGGGATCCCACAGAATCCCAGACTGGTTTGGGTTGGGAGAGACCTCAAATCCCACCCATCCCACCTGTGCCATGGCAGGGACAGCTCCCACTGTCCCAGGCTGCTCCAAACCCATCCAGCCTGGCCTTGGGCACTGCCAGGGATCCAGGGACAGCCCCAGCTGCTCTGGGAATTCTGTCCCAGGGCCTGCCCACCCTGCCAGGGAACAATTCCAAGCTCTATCCCAGCCCTGCATCCCAAGGACTTTCTCTGCTCCCCGTGGGCAGCTCTGCCCTTCCCAGCCCTGCTGCCATCCCCAGCGAGCCCTGCCTGTCCCCTGCCTGTCCCCTGCCTGTCCCCTGGCTGTCCCCCTGCCTGTCCCCTGCCTGTCCCCCTGCTCCCTGCTGCCTGTCCTCAGCCAGCACCCCTCGCTTTGTGTCCGTGTGTCTGCAGCTCCTGGGAGGATGTAGTGGTTTAGATTTGCCAATTTTGTTTCCCGGCCAACACACCAAATAAATGTTGTGGTTTTAAAGCAGCAACTAAAAAAATCACTAGAAAATTTATTTCTTGCTGTGAGATATGGATTAGAACAAGAGCAAAACAGGTTTAAAACTTAAAAGGAATAAAAAAAGTTTATTAGCAAAACTACATGAATAAGAAAACCAGAATAAAACCTCCAGAAAATTCTTTTTTCCCCCACTACCCAACCATTCCCTTGTTCACATGACAACATAGAGACAAAAAAACTTTGGTGTTTACAACAGTCCCAATTCTTGCTATGGTCTTTCCATCAGTCTTTGTAGAGAAACAGAAGTCTTCTTCTGCTAATCTATGGAGTTTCTCTCAAGGAAACTATTTCTGTTACAGTTTTCTATTTTTCTGATGCCAGCTGCCTGGAAATCCTGTCATCAGTTCTCCCATTTCACATCACTCTGAGGTGTGTATGGGTCAATGAGTCCAGGGATGTCATTTTTAAGGATGGGTTATTCAAAGGCAAAAGTTCTCTTCATTTGTCTCTGTGAGCTTGCCTGGAAACAGAAGTTTTCTCTTTGCCTCTTAATGGCCCAAAAGGTAAAGTCACCCCAGGACAGAGGCACAGGAGGAGTTCCCATCCAGCTGCTGCTGGGGCTTGGGGAAGGGACCTGGGGCTGTCCCAACACGCTGAGGGGAACGAGCCCAGCCCTGGGGAGGCTCCAGGAGCTCTGCCTGTTGTGCTCCTGCCTCTCCCCAGCATTCCCGGTGGGAACAGGGAGCAGCAGGAATGCCCGAGCACCCCTCGGCAGCACTCCGGGCTGGCCCCAGCCCCGGGCACTCCCTGGCTCCCTCCAGCTCTGCCTTCCCTCGGAGCAGTTGGGATTTTTCAGGGATGAAGTCAAAAGGAGAATTAATCCAGGCTTGTCAGGAAGACAGAGCAGCCCCAGCAGTGACGGGGGTGCAGGAGCTGAGCCCCCCCTGCGCTCCAGGGCACAACATGAAAGAGCTGCTCTGAATATGAAATATGTCAAATATGCCCAAATGCATTTTGTGAAAGACAATGTATTTATGTTTGGGGCTGCTTTGTTTGAAGAACCCATCGTGGCCAGGGCTAGAAGCCCCAGTTATTTTGACTTTCTGTAAACACAGTGGTTGGACAGACCTTGCCCCCCTTCCCCACATGGGCTGTTTGCTCCGGGGAGCCGCAGTTCTTCCATGCATCCATCAGGACAAATAAATCCAGCATTTATAATGGCTCTGGGCTGGCAGATGAAGGGAAGTGTTCATCCCCACTTGGAGTGGCTTTTCAGGGGAGGATGTCATTCCCAGCAGCTCGTGGTTTATGTGACAGGTTGGAGTCGGGCACATTTTGCCTGATTGTTTGTAGTTCCCTGGCTCTGAACGTGAACAGAGACAAAAGCAGGCCTGGAAAAACCCTCTGCCCACATTTGGGCACGGCTTTGTCCCATCCTGGCCTCGGGGGGAGGTCAGAGCCTGGCAGTGCCCAGCTGTGCCCAGCCCCACGCCGAGGGAGCTGCACAGGGCCAGGGCTGAGCCCGTGCAGTGCCCAGAGAGGCTTCACTGAGCCAGGGCTGCACCTGCAGGGCTTTGGGCTGGAAATGCCCTGGCACAGAGCCCCATCACCCCAGGGCATCACCCGGGATGGGAATGCTCCAAACCTGGATCCCAGCCCCCCTCCACCCCCTCCCCAGAGCACTGGGGCTCTGCTCTGTGCCCCGGGACTGAGAGGGATCTGCAGCCTGTAATGCCACGACTTTAAACATTCAAACCCAAAGGATCGGCCAAAGCTTGGGCTCAGGGATCCTGGAGGTCTTTTCCAACCTAAATAACTCTGTGATTCTGTGGATCTTTGAAACATCAGATCTGCTGCGGCTGTCCAAAGGGCGGGGCTCGGCCTCCTGTGGCTGAGGAAAATCCAGCAGGGCTCGGTGGCCCCGAGCAGAACCAGCCCGGCTGCCCAGCTCCACCTCCGGGGATGTTTACACTGAGACAGCCAAGAACTGCCTGTCCCTGTGTCTGTGTGTCCTTGTGTCCCTGTGTCCCTGTGTCCCTGTGTCTGTGTGTCCTTGTGTCCCTGTGTCCCTGTGTCCCTGTGTCCCTGTGTCTGTGTGTCCTTGTGTCCCTGTGTCCCTGTGTCCCTGTGTCCCTGTGTCCCTGTGTCCCTGTGTCCGTGTGTCCTTGTGTCCCTGTGTCTGTGTGTCCTTGTGTCCCTGTGTCTGTGTGTCCTTGTGTCCCTGTGTCCCTGTGTCCCTGTGTCCCTGTGTCCGTGTGTCCTTGTGTCCCTGTGTCTGTGTGTCCCTGTGTCTGTGTGTCCTTGTG